GAAATCATGAAAGTAATGTTCTTCATTCAATGCACAGCACAAGTAAAAAAAAAAGAAGGAAGATATGAAAAATTGATTGATAATGATTGGCAAATTATGTTGATGTAATAACAATGAATAAAACATTCTCAAGGTCATTGTTATCGGGCTTGAGCTTCATGACGACGCTTCTTATATGTGTTCATTGTTATGATGGAGAATTTATTGCAATCAAATTAATGGGTAATTTGGTCTAATCGTAATGAATGTTTGATAATCAGCAAAAAAAAATGAGTGGTGCTGAATTAGCGGGATTTCGGATATTCGAGAATTTTTCGATGGATTTTTGATGATGCAGCATCTGAAATTTCATATCTCCCATAATGATTGTTTTGATTCAATAGAAATATTGTTTGAATAGAAATTAGACAAAAGATGAAATGGCAATAATAATGGATTGGAGATTAAGGGTTAATGATCGATCCTATTTTCAGTTTAAGTGGATAGGGTCAACATTTTGTAGGTTAAATGGATTATTGCTTGTAGCTATAGTCAAAAAAGGACAGTGATTCATGGAACTGCTTGAGTAATTAATCGTCTCTAATTTATTATATATTAGCATGACCTTCGGATATAAAAGGAAGATTAATCATCTAGATTTTTGTTGGTCAATCAATAGCTCATTCTGTTGTAAGTTTATGTAAAGAAAGCATTTTCAGTGACTTCTTATCCAGTAAATCATTTAGGTCAAAAAAATTCTTTTGATGAAATTCTTTTCAGTTCCATTTAAGTTCAATTTATGAATTTTGTGCATGTATGAAGAATGTCATTGAGTTTGTCGCAGATCTTTTGTGTATAAAACTTGTGCTGATTATTTATGACTAGCTTCATAAGTATTACATCGTATGACTTCGTGAGTATTGCTTGGTATTACTCAATTTTTTGTCAAATTGGCAACAATCTGTGAACTTATTGACAGGTTGGTTAGAATCAAACCCACGTCTTAAGATAAAGTTACGAAATTCAAGTCTGTTGTCTAACCACTAGGTTACCGAGACCTTATTTTTAAATCGACAGGTTTGCTTTTAGATATAGCTTGATATCCCAGATTCTTGACATCACATAGTTTTTCCTTATAAGTAAGTCAATCTTAAATTAATTTCTTGTTTGCCCTGTTACATGACAAAAGCAATCAGCTTATCGGAATTTAATTCACTTTACAGTTTTATGGATTTCTTTTCAATTCTTCTCATTCTTTTCATGTCTAAGCACATAAATTAATATTAAGTCAGAGATTATTATTTTATAGAAGAAAAAAAAAACATTCTTTTATATCCAACAAAAGATCCAAAACTTCATCATAGAAGTTATTAATTTTATCGTAATTAATATGCAGTAAGCCATCGGACCTAAAAATCTAGTTACAATCAGAATCACAAATTAGATTCGAAGTCTTTTAACGACTCTTTCTCTGTCTTTCTCGTTTTCTCAATTAAATAAAGATTAATTTTCATGGAGAATCAGCAGTGAAGCAAAACAAGAAAGCATGTAAGGAACTAAGAAGATGATGAACGAAATTCTTTGATGTCAATTTTCTCTTTTATAACATGACGAGATGATAGAACCACATGAATAGAAATGACGAAGAAGGCAGAGAAATACAAAAGATCTAAAAGATATTCGAATGGAAAGACGATATTTTTTAGACTTTCCTCTTCTTTATCGTCGTCATCATCATCATTTACACACATATAAACATGAAACGCATTGCAGATTAATTTTGTTATTCTTCTTGCTAGATAGCTAGCTACATAAGGATGATATTAAAGAGCTTTGTGACTATCTGCAGTAGGCTCATTAATGTGAATATCATAAAAAATGGATGAAATAAAAAGCTTTTAAAGTCGTTTCGCAAGAAAAGAAAGAATTTAGGGAGAACAATTTTTCCATCTTGTAATAACAGATTCGGTTTCAGGGAGACATTAGCTTAATTGAAATTACTGGTAGAGATAGCTTTGGATTCTAGAAAGAAAGGATAGGATTTAAATGTATACCCAAAACAGGCTATAAACCAATAATAATAATAATAATGTGTAAAGGGCCCAACCTTTCAGCTGGAGGCACAGCGATTCAATTTGTAAAGAATCTATTGTACCATACCCTTTAGACCTACAGTTTATAGTGGGATCCGAACTACTTGCAAGCTCTGCACATTGCAATGTCACATAAGAGCTGATCCTACAATGTACCTAGTCACAATTCGTGTGCGCAAGATGCTGGAAGGAAGTCATCCAGATGCTAGTATATCCTTGTATACCTAGCAAAAGTGGCATATTCTATGCCAAAGACTTCAATACTACACCCACCCAACACACGAACCGAGCTTCGTAAACAGAACGGGAAAAAAAAGCTTCGATAATCAGAAATGACCTGGTATTGAACCTAGAACCTTTGGCACGGAAGGCCAACGATCTACCATTTAAGCCACTGATGCCATTTCACCGCTTCTATAAACCAAAGAATCAACAATATTAATTACAAACTGGATAAATTGCTGATCAATTCGAATTATTTTAACTTTTAAAGTTGCACCAATAAAGAGTCCGAATTGACAGCATTCTCAACATCCTTTAAAAAGCTCCCATCCCCTGCATACATATTACAACAACAAGATAAAGAAAGAACCAGAAGTTTACATATTTTTCTAAGAATCATCAGTACTTAGTCCTTTATATAAAGAGCAATATATAACGATATTTTTACAAAACATAAGCAGCATTTGCCATAGGAATAAGAAGAAAAACATAACAAATTAATGCTTCGTTGTGTCACGAGGGCCCAGATGATGACATTTTTACAATATTAAAAATTATGTCGTAAAAATTTATGTCTCTATCTGCGCTGATGTTATTCGTACTCGAGTTTTGGGGCCAATGAAGGATAATGGTTCAAAGGAATGAAGACAACAAAAAAATTTATTTTATACCAAATGACATCAGCCGTCGCCGTACATAATAATGGTCCCATTCCACAACAAAAATTTTCAATTAAAATATTCGTTCCTTACTGTATTATTCTCTCATGGGCTTTTGCCACTAATCTCCTATGGGAAATGGGTAGAGGAGACTGAGGTAAAGGGCATAAAGACTGTGAAAATGAATGGAGAACATCTCTCAACAGATAACAAAGTAAGCATAAATTATGCTTATGCGGAAGGGAGATTAAAGGCACGAATTGTTCCGGTATCATCATAAAGCGTTTTAACCTCAGTGGAATTAATTAAAGTATCCGCGTGTACGCGCGTGAAAATTTTCTTTTTTTTTTGTTGTTGTTCGTAGAAAGCATTATTAATGGATGAATGGCTATGACCAGCAGTCCATTAAATAAACTGATATCAAATTTATCCTTCACTTTTAATTATCTTTCTTCTCTATCTTCGTCTACAATAATTGGAAGATAAATTTATCAGGAAGAATCTACTTAAGGTTAATGGACAAGCGATGAGAGTTTTTTTGGTGAATAGGGATGGCGCATTTGTGATTTTTGTGGGGTTATTGATTGTGGATTTCTTGGAATAATTACGTTTGTAATAGAATTTAATTGAGTAGTTTTCTAGGAAGACAATTTATTCCAAGATTAACTCAACAATTGAGTTAATTTTATTTTGTAATTTTCTTCTTAGAATTATTTTTACGACATTTGAATACCAATTCGATGGAAGTGAGACTTCATTTTATTTGGAGTAAATTCTATGGAATTGGATCCAATAGCTTTAAAGGGTTTCAGCCTGACTAAATACTTGAGGACAAGACAACAAAATAGAAAATTTCCAACTATATTGTCTCCTCACGTGCTTCATACCTGCTGAGAATAAATATGAATTAAGTTTCAGTAGCTTCTTAATAGAAGTAAATTCAAAATTTAAAGTTAAAAAAATTATGTCATGTTCTCTAAGGTTCAAATCCTTAATAATTATTGGAATCTTTCATCGGTGAGTTAATTTACATTTTTATTTTAAACCAGGCGTGCAGCCAGGAGAATATTTTCTTCCTCTTAAGCGTTTTAAGCCGTGCTCTCGATGCGGTTCAAAACGTTTAAGGTAGGGACAAGACCCTCCTTGCTACGCGCCTGTTTTGAATACATAAAACAGTAGTTATTAAGAGTTTGAATTTCGCGAGACATTCTTGAAATTTTTCATGACACATTAAAGTTCTGAAAAGTACAGTTTTTTTCGTGTAATATTTAGAGAGAAAAGAGGGAGAAGGGATGGGTTCAAGATTTTTTTGCAATAGGGATTTGGAATTAAGTTTATAATGATACCCCTAAATAAGGGGGTAAGAACAAGATCAATATAATCGAATCTGAAGTTTAATTTTGAATTTCAAATAGAAATTCATCAGATTCAATAAAAAAACTAATTCATAACATAGCAAACAGCTCAAAATAGATTACAAGCTTCATACTGAATCTCAAATTACCGTCTCCATGGAATAAACTGTTCGACATTAACTTGTCATCCTCTCATTGAGACAAATTAAACCCATTAGCATACTTTCCCGATCGACACACCATGAAATTCAGTGAAATGTTTGCCACATGACAGCCAGATTGATAGTATGATTAGATCCAAGCGGTAGCCTATTCATTCTAATTATCCAAGCGGCATCCAATTGATTCTAATTTTACAATCAACCCCGTCTTGTGGCAAACATTTCAATGAGTGCCGATCGGGTTTCCTCATCATCAAAAAAAAAAGTTTTTTTTTGTACTTAAAGAGGAACTAAATATTCTATCTTAATTGAATTATGGCAATGATGTGACATTGGTGATATTGATGGCAATCGCTAAGCAGTGACATAATTAGAATCTTTAATGAAAAATTTATCTTCATCGTCGCTCTTTTTTTCTATCGCTCACATTTCACATTGTGTGTACGGAAAAAGAAGAAAAGGAAGCGGATTAGTTGAGCATTCGAGTTCAATTCAGGATCTCATTTATCATTTTCAAGAAGTAAAATTAAATTAGTTTTGAAGTCAAAGAAAAAAAAACTTTATTTCATTTATTTTCTATGGGATGATGGTGTAGCTAGGAGATGGTGACTTTACCTTTGTGATTGTCATAGCATATGATACTTTAAATATTAGATGGAAACAGAGCATCCAAAATATACTAGCTACGCCACTGCATTGTCTCCATACATTTTATGCACCCCTTAAAGTTATGCAAACTTCATTCCAAACATAAAAATATTCATCAATAATCCAATAAAACAAATGGAACTAAATAAATTTCTAGCAGCTGCATTTGGCTTCGATGTGGATGGATGAATTGGTGGAAGAACTGGTGATTCTGTTGAACTAACCCAGCTTGGTATAGATGGTGGTGCAATAACTGTACGATTTTTATCAAATTGAACTTCTTCTGTCGCTTCCAATAGCCAGTCAAGATACATTGTAACATTTATATAGTAAGCTGTCGTTTGCTGGTTCAAAAAGCATTTTTCAGCATTCTTTGGTGGATTGACGTCAGTCAACAATCCCACTAATTTATTGTTGCAAACATAAGCTGTGCCACGATCATTCGAGTATTTCAAGCTAATGGATGAAATCTGAAAAATTGTTAAATTAAATGTAAAAAAAAAGGTAGGAAATTGATTAATTGAATTTGACTTACATTGCATGCTGTACTATCGGACATGAAATATTCCAGACACAAATCCATTTCCCGAATTAACGCTGTATCATTTATATCAGCACAAATTGAATGTTGAAGGTTCGAGGGTCTTTTTGAAATTGAATAAAGTCCTCCATTTTTCTAGTTATGCATATATTTTTTTTCGTTGCGATAAATGTACACGACAAATGTTGTGGTAGAGAAAGAGTGGATGAGAAGGAATAGGAGAAAAAAATTCAATTAGTCAAAAAGCAAAATGCACGATTAAATGAGAAATAAGATTGGGAGAAAAAAAAATAATGCTGGAAGTGAATGTGAAGAGGAAAATAATAAAAAAATTCAAATGAAAAAAAAATTGTTGTTCAAATACAGAGTTGGAGAGCTTGATTGGATGTTTGTGTTAGGTATGGACTGGTATTGACAAGATTCTACTTCAAAATTACATTGTCAAATGTTATTTTTATTAAGTGGGGCTTCTAAAGTTTACTTGAGGATCGTAAATGATGCCTGCATGGCATATGTATAGTATGGTCAAAGGATAAAATGGGTCTAATGATGAAGGGGGTCTAAGAATGGATGGGTTTGAGGATGAAGTAGGTCTGAGCCGTTCTAAGGTTTAAGAGGTTGTATGTCTGTCCTTAAAACCACTCCTACAACCTCAAAATCACCCAAAATCTCCACCTCTGCCTCGAACCTTACCTGTGAGTTGTTAAAAACGGTAGCAAAGCATGATTCAGTAGTTCCAACAGCATCTCTACTGGTTGCAATATCCAACCACTGTGTTTCCGTATTGTTTGCCAATGGAAGAGCCATATCAAGCTACACAATCAGCATAAAAATAATTTTCGAAATTGTTTTTACTCACTCACTCACCAAAACATACATTAAATTTACCTTCAACACCGCTATGTCGTTATCGTATGTTGTCTTGCTGAATTTATGATGCGGAATTATTGAAACCACATTACGATAAAGTGTACTATTGCTCGAATTTCGTAAACCGGCAACAACGGTAATATCGGTGGCCATCAGTTTTGCGCTGTATGTTTGCATATATGTTTAATAGAGTAAAGGAAGCATTTCTTTTATGTTTCTCGAATAGAGATTTAATGAATGTGAATATATGAATGTATGTTTGTACTCGTACGTATACGTATGCATGATGCTTTATTAAATGGGAAAGTAAGGAAGATGAAAATCTGCTTTGTGTGGAAATTTAAATCGAAATGAGCAGTAAGACATACATACTCGAATGTATGTACATAACATCCAATCTATTGCATAGAAATATATTTTATAATACCATTACTATAAATTTTCCTTTAAAGTGCTTCAAGCTACCATAGATCTTTTTTGTATCATTCTATAAATGTTTGTCAACTGACATCAGAGACATTCATTTTGGTAAGTCTCTTCCTTTAAATGCACATAAATTTATTTTCAAGACGAAAATTTATCTTGAACTATCAAAATATTATGAATTATGAAGGAAAGCCTTTAAGCTGTAGAGAATATTTTTGGAAATAATTATTATATTTTTCTGTCTTAATAAATATTAAAAGTTGGTAGATTTTTGTAATAAATTTAGACATTAAGGAACAAATATTCAGAAACTTGATTTATTTTCCATAAAAAGATGAAACCTTCAGAAACTTAAGTAGAAGATTATATGAAATAAAATGAGAGAAGCTTTTGATAAAATACAGTCACATGATAGCCTCATGACTCATTATTATGAATGAATGAGTAGGCAGAAGATTGTAGACGACAAATCATAAAGAGTACATTAATGTTTGATATTTGAGTTTTATGATAGATTGAAGGTCGTTTATACGTTCTAAGTTGTAAAGCTTAAAAGGAACTAAGCGTCTAATCAAGGTTTAATCTCAATCTTATCCAATACAGCAGAAAAAAGCAATCGTCAAAATAGAAATAGTCGCTACTGGATGTGTTTAAGTAACTTGGAGGTGTAGCAAGGATTAAGAAGGGTCTGGATGTTCAAAATCTTGCAGAAAAAAATTCAAAATTTCATGCCAGATAGCCCTGATTAAAGCACAAATGTTTCATTTGGCTTTAGGTGACAATAGCTCTTGCTATGCAATAGAACCTCTAAGTAGGGTGACCATCTGCGTAGTTTTACAACGGACAGTCCTGCATTTCAAAACCCTGTCCTGTATAAATTTGAAAATTTTGTTCCAGGTCCTGTATTTTTTTCACGAAAATTTCCGTTAATTTTCAAATTTTCCTTTGTGTCCTGTATTTTTTGGGAAATTTATCAAATGTCCTGTATTTTCATAAAAATTAGATGGTCACCCTACCTCTAAGGGACGTCCTCTAATATGTAGGAAATGAATGAATAAGACAAACTAGAGCTTCAGGAAAACTTGTTTTAATTAAAATATTTTTAAGGAGAGGGGTTCAGACCCAAATGCACCCCTGCTTACTAAATCCCCAATAAGTTTCAACTAGTTTAATTTTGTTTGATCTAATGGTAGTTATTGGAAAGAACGGCAAAGCAAGAATGCCAGAAAAATTAAAATTTTCCCAAGTCATCAATAGTGAACGACCGCAAATGAACCCTACAACCTCACAATAACCTCCAGATCATTGAAAAAACAATTTTTCAAACAGCCGCAAAGCGAAAATTCTTTGACAATTTTCATGAATATTTGACACATTTCAAAAAGCCTCGTATGCAGAGCTATGCTAAATATTAAATAATGATTCAACGTGACGTACGAGAGTTATGAATATTTAACTAAGCAAATTATTGCTCATAAACATTGTTATCATTATGCATGATTATACAGATAACAAATTTTGTGACAATAATTTTTCAAAAAAATACAATTTTGAATAATTTAAAACCAACCACAATGAATACCTAGAATCAATATGAAAACATAGACGAATCATACGGGAAAGCGGATATTGTATAAATATTTTATGTCTATACTAACCTAAAATTTGTTTTCATGACGGGGATATATAAACAATTTGCTGTTGTTAGTATGTACATTTCATGAATTATGATGCCATTGCATAGATAAAATTGGTTTGCATTGGTCCCTGGTGTTGATTCCTTCAGCATGATGGAAACCTTGTTTAAAGTATAATAAATTCTCATTAAAGTCTTTTGTGATGCTTTAAAACTACATTTATTATAAACGTACCTGGTATGGAGCTTTAGACTCAACATGTGTAACTAATGCAAATGCTATTGTTGCTAAAATCACAAATCCTTTCATAATTACTCTCGGTAATGTTCGCATACAACACCTGCAACAGCATACGAGCAGAAAAATTATTACTGTAGTCGAGCTATCTCGAAAATAAATCTGTGAAATGCAATTTGAATTTTAATTAAATTAAACAACCAAAAAAAAAAGTAATTTACTGAGTAAAAATGTGAATAAAAAAAATTCTCAACTCAACGGCAACTTTCCCGTTAATAATGTGAAAAACAAGTTTGTCGCTGAGCATCAGAAGTCACATCTTTTGTTTACTGCTTAAATATTTTATATCTTATCTGTTTCATTCTATTTTACTCTATGTAAATGTTATTTGAAGTTATGGCTGTACAATAGTAGAAAAAAGCCCCTTTGTATATGCACACTTTACAGAGCTTACAGCTTGAATTTGAGATTTTTAAGATAAGAGTAGCTTTATTTGGTTAGTGATCAAGTTCAATTGGAGATGGGCTTGTCAGGGATTTTCTTATCTAATAGGTAGTATTTAGATTGTCATTTTGAACATCTTACTAAAGCAGTGATGGTCAACCCGTTTGCAGCGACACATTATATATCCCAATATATCCCACGAACCGTATGCTGCGTTCGGTTTTGGTCATGTATTTTTACCAAGTGTGCCATCGCACCAAAAAGGTTGACCACCACTGTACTAAAGGACTGTAACCTTATTACGTAATGAGTTTAAGAGGGTGAGAAGGGGGAGGGGAGAGGGAGTATCAACTATCCCAAAGAATAAAATTAAGATGTATAAATCTTGAAGAGTCCGAAATCCTTCAATTCATTTGAATGAGCTTTAATCTTATTTGAACAGAAATTTTCTAGGAATGGGAGGGGGGGGGGGGGGGGAGTAAGTCGACCATGCAAGAATTCGCTAATTTTGATTTAGCTCAAGGCTCTGTAAATCAAAGGTGATTAATTGACTAAAAACAGATTTTGAATAATTTCACACCTTTGCTGTAAATTCAATTTAATGAAAGACGTCATAAGTGAACAACCCCTTAGTCAAGTTAAAAAAACTTTCAAACTCATCCACTACAGACTCAATACACAAGCCAAACAATGCAATCACCTCACCGCACCATTCTCTGTACAAACTTTTTCACAGAAAATAATTATTTTAGAACCAACAAATTCTCTTTTGAGCTCTTCGTCATCACCATACATATCATAGTATCTTGTGGATTATAGAGCACAATACACATGGATTTAATTTTACATAATCACACTCATTTTGAATATTAAAGGATATCCTCGTCCATTGAGCTACGGAGATTTTTTAAGGATTGAAATTAAATCCAAAAGTAACTAATGTAAATTGTTAATTAAAATTTTAATACTTCCACCATCAAAGGAATAAGTTACGTAATTTAAGATTAATCCGATAAACTTTTTTTTTCAGCTTTAAAGAACAGCAGTGAATTTGAAACTTTTCCCAGGCGTTCATTGAACCTTTCAATCTAAATAATCCTCTCTCGACTGCTGCAACAGATTTTTTAATGCATTTATCGTCGTCGTTCCTCATCAACTTGTATCGAAGGTGAAAATTTTTTTATGATCACTCGAGACTTGCTTTTTGTATTCCTTTTCATCCTTCACACTAGGCGAGATTAAATTGAAATGATAATTAAAGTTTATCACCGTCTGTCTTTTAGTGTGAGGCACTTCATCTATATCGTATAATGATGACTATGCAAAACTTTGTCATATGGCAGCAAAAAATGGAAACTTTATGAAAAATAAATGCGAATTATGACACCTTGGAATATAAAGCACAAAAAACACTAAATTTCCTTTTTCTTTCGTTCGTTTCATGCTTCATGCATATTCGTATTAGAATTCCCAAATGAAAATTAGTAGTAGTCACCTCTTTTAGGATGCATATATAAGTTGGACGGTATACAAAGCATGAGTGTTTCATGAAAAATTAATGTTAAAAACGAAAAAACCGCAACAAACGAATGAAATTAAAAAATTTTCAGGCTTTTCAAGTTCTGCGGTTAGCGGAAAATAATTGCAGCCTTTATGCAGCATAGTGCGTCCGGTGTCACCATCACTACCACTTCTGGTATTTTGTACGCTTATTTATTCAATTTTTGTCTCTATGCAGGAACATGACTAAAATACATTGGAAATTGCAAATTCTATACTGTGCAAAGCTTTTTTGCTAGCGAGAATAACGAGCATGCTGAATTAGTTTCTCAAAAGTTTCAATAGAATTGAAAACATTTTTCGTGAATTGCAAACATGCATCATTTAAAGTGAATCCTTTGTATAGGCATTTGATTATGTTTGGAATTTGGAAGCTCGTTTTGACTACTTTTTGGGAGAAGCTTTGATTAAAAGTATGGGAAGCTTTTGGAATGTGAGCATAGTTTTGAGACGCAAAAAGTTGATAGTCTGGAATTTAAATTGAAACGGGTTTTCAAATCTATTTACTTGTGCCTCTCAAGCACCATTAGCGAACAACCTCAAATCGATGTCCATCCTGTGAACATGCGTTATTTTCAGCCAGCTATTTAGTAAACAAAAAGCTTCAAAATCCTTTCTAGAATACCTAATTGAGTATGACAAAATGCAGGCACGACTACCTTCCGCTCCAGATAACACATTGAATCACACACATGAAGCTATTTGTGCCACATTTCATCCAAAAATATCAAGTACAAATTTAATGAATCTGCTCCTGTTTAAAAATAAAATTGAAAATATTTTCTTTTTTTTTTCTTCACAAAAAACAGTTTCAAAATAGTTTTATTTAGTAAAATTGTGAAAATTTGTTGAAATTATTTCACAATACAGAAAACATACAAATTCGTGTAGATACTAGGATTATTTGTATGTACACATGTGTATAGGGATACAAGTGCGACAATGAGCACGCGAAATATTGGTAAAATATCGTTTTAATTGCAATTGACATAATTTTCACTATTTGCGGATTTTAAATTAGTGGCTTTGTTAAGTTTTCATCACAAATGTGTATTTCATGATGCTCATCCTCTTCCTCATTTTCCTGTTCATTTCCATTCTCATCGCTAGGCTCTGGCACTAAAATCTCATTATTTTCAATATCAATATCGTCGTCCTCGTCTTCTTCATCTTGCTCTGTTTTCGATTCCTCATCTACATCCACATTGTCTACTTCTTCATCATCTACCTCCTCCTCCTCGTCATCATCATCATCGTCTTCCTGTTCTTCCGTTTCCATTTGACGTTGAATTGTGTATCGATTCTTCCGTTGTGGTAATTTATGTGACTTTTGCTTTTTCTTAAAAATTGGTTTCATATCGTACATGTTTACGGGATTCGATCGACTCATAGGATTGCACATCTTCTTTTGAAGCCTATTTATTTGAAATAAGGAAATTGTATATTTAAGGTTATTGAATGATATTGTTATGAATCATCGTAATTCAATTTGGATGTTTGAAAGTATTTTGCAAAAGTCGAGAAGCTTCTTACAGTCATGACATGTTGAAAAAGCGAGGGGGATAACAACATGATGGGAAATTCATTTCCATTTTTTTAAATCATTTTGTTTTCTTTTTGAAAATTTATTATAAATTTTCTGGTGATGAGAACTATTCACAAAAATATTTTCTCACAGTGTTGTTTTCCCCCTTTGTAAAACACTTTCTAAGCTACCAAAAATCATCAATTTCTGTAACTTTTCATGCTCCACAAAATTCATTAGAAACATTTCCACAAAAATTCTCATTAAAACTTGCAAATTCAGCATTTTTCAATTAGCCATGATAAATGAATATTCAGAAAAGAAGCGGTATTTCCATTTTTAATAGCTTTTTCACCTTTTGATTTTTTTTTTCTTTCATTCTACTTCATTAGAAGGGAAACGTGTAAAATTTCTCGAAAAATGAGTTATGCAACTCATGAAAAGAAAACGAAAGAAATAATTTTCCATTTGTGCTGCGTCAGCTTTGAGCTTAAAAAAACCTTCGAAAGGATAGCAAAAAAGTTTGTATTTAATTTTGCTTACCACTTAGCGAAAGCCTCTTCATTAGCCTTTGCCAAATTGTCTTGTTTTTCAAAGTGATGACTGGATCGTCTCCGGTAGACCTCGACATTTTTGCGCAGCTTTTCTTCTCGTCTCTCGATTTCATCCTTTGAAAGTCCATAATGTGAATAGAAACCATTATATTTGGGTAATTTTTGTTTATACTCATCAGTCTCTTTGAATTCGCAGCATTTTTTTGTACGTGTCCTTCGCTCATCAACCGGAATGTTGCCAATTGGACATATTTTTGTACGAAATTTCCTCTTAGCTGAACTAGATTTTTCTCTCGGTTCCGATATTATTTCATTTTCTTTAGACATTGTGGCGTCTCTGATTTCATCGTCCTTGTAGAATTCATCTTCCTCGTATTTTGCTTCCTCAATGTCCAGACTCTCGTCAATACCATTTGCAAATGCTCTATTATTATTATCACTTATATCTAATACTTCTATTTCCTCACAAACCTCTTCAATTTCAATTGTTTCAATGATGAGTCTTTCCTCTGTCGATGGATCGAACAAATCATCGTCTATATAGCCATCATCTGATGATTCCTCTTCCTTTTTAAAGATTATACTACTAGACTGTGATGATCTTCTTCTCTCCATTATTATTATGCCATTCTCGTCCTCTGGTTCGTAATCGACTAGTTGATGATCTCTAAATCTTACCTTTGGCTGTGAACGTTGTGAATGTTCACTTTTATAAAGCTGTTGGTTTGCCTCCTTTATTTTTTCACTGATGTTATACTGATTGCTGACAGGCTGAAGAACTTTATGGATTGGAATGGGGCAGGTTGAAGAAAGAGAAGAAAAAAAAAATAAATATCGAATAAAGAAAAGAATCTTCTTTCAGCACGAGTGACAGAATAAATGGAAATAGAAGTAAAAAATGGATGAATGGATGATTTACTCACAGTATTCACAATCATCATCATCGCTATCGTTTTCCGAATGTTGTGACATTGACTGTCTTTTGTATATATATATTGCTATCAATCTATTTCACTTCCGTCGCTTGTTACCGTGTATTGTACTGCCTGCTTCTTCTACTTTCGTTTATTTCGCAGAAACGAAAGTCCTTATGTCAAAATATAAGCAAAAAATATATATATATATGAAAATACTTTACTTTGTCGTATTGTTAAAGTTTTTCAAGCGCAATAAACGATGATGAACCTTTTCGCGTGGAAACTTTTTTTCTATTTGAACAACTTCGACGTCAAATGTAGTTTTTTGGGCCTTTCTTCTTTATTTGCATTCACGTTTTTATTTTTCTTGATATTATTTTTATTCCTTGTTTTTTTAGTGGATGAAGTTCGATTTCAAGGCGATTATATTGATTTTGACGATATGCATAACGCCCCGTTGCCTGGTCACGATTTTAAATTTCCTTTTTAAAAAACTTTATTCTATAGTAATTTGTTTATATGTAATACGTGGATATGGGTTGTTGTTGTGGAAGCGTGCTTGCCAATTAACATTAACAAGTTTGTTTTCATTTCATGTCTTTTGAATGATTCCAGTGTTGATTTGAGTTTGTATAAAAGCGACAAAAATTGAAGAATTTTTTTTTGTGTTGACAAACTTTTTGAATCAAAACTTTTTAAAGAATGTTCAAGAACTTCTTAATTTGATTTCTATTTTTTTAAGCACCGTTTGTGAAATGAATTGCTCGTTAGTTTCACTTTGGTTTCGTGCTGCAAAAATTTTTGTTGATAGCTATTAATTTAATTTTTGAGATACCTCACGATTTTATTTCAGTCACAATTCATCAATTGCTTGTTTAACATGAAGATTGTGTATTTGATTCACTATTTATTTGCCCAAAAACTATGTGAATTTAAAGAACAAAACATTAAAAATTGCTAAACACGTTTAAATTGGAGGAAAATAAATTTTTGAAATCTTTGCTTCAATTTTTTTCAAAGCGTCGCTTTAAAATTATTCAACATTGTAAATTTAAATTTAAACCCGTTAGAATTTCAGCAATAAATAAAATTTTCACGATTTGAGGCCGTAGAAGCTTCTCAATAAACAAAAACACACTGAATTCATGTAAACAAAAAAACAATGTTTCCAAACAACAAAAAAAAATTCTCGAAAAAATTTTCATCAAGTGGATAAAAGGCACTAAATCAAAAAAGTTCAGTTTCACGTGAATGTCATTTCAACCTTCTATTGATCAAGCATATATTTATTGCACTTTTTATTTGCTCTTATATTTTTACGACTATCCACCGTGTGACTATATACATAAATGCGATGCCGTAAATAACACAACATATGATGAAATTTGTCAACGTTTTACAACCGAAACAATTCATAACGAAAATTCATATCAAAAATGCTGTTGTCATCATCATACTTTTCCTCACTTCGCTCTTCTTTCAACAATATTAAAATATATATGAGCGTGTACATAAAAAAAATATTTCAAATTTATATGCAAATGAATTCATTCGCCAATTAAACTTTTTTTTACTGACTGTTGATGAGTTAATTTTACAACAGTACCGACGTTCAAAATGAAATTAATTATCTTCTCCAAAAAAAGAAAGAGATTCATCCACTTCAGCCAACATTAATTCGTAAAAAAATTTACCATCGCTTTTTCCTGATTGCGTCAAATCTCAAATAATACTTCTCGAAGCTATTTTAACAATCTTTTATTCTTCTCCCGGTATAATGCGTACGATTTTGTATTTTTATGGCTGTTTAACGAGACCATTACTTAAGTGAAATAAAATTCTCGTGGAAATAAAAGAATGTGAGCTGGAGAATCGTCGAAGGGTGGCTGGGTGAATTAGGTGAAAAGTGACTTTTTATCAATTCACCTCCTTTATTTAACGCCCTTGCTGTATGAATATGTGTGAGTGAATTGTATCAGCAAAATATTACATCCCCAGCGCGTGTGAAAAAGTACTTCGATTGTAACAATCTGTGCTTCTTCTCTTTATTACCGTCATTTTCACTCGCAACATGAAAATAATCTTTTTCGTTTAAAAATTTTCTCATTTTAGATTTTTTTTTCTTCTTCTTTTCAGAGTTTAAAGAATTTTTATACTTTAAATGCGCTGATTTTCAAAACTGTACCTTGATTTTTAGTGGAATTTTCTTGTTTTATCTTATCAAGGGTTCGTGTCAAATAGCTTAGCTAGAAATGGTTGCTAATTTCTTGTGAAACTTTTCTAGTGGCTGGTTTCTAAAGCTACATGGGTAACCCTAAACTAGAATTTAAAAACCGATAAATTATACTTCAAGATATAAGCAAAAAAACTTGAAACTAGTGTAAGTTGATCCGGATAGTCTTACAAACCATATCCTGAATAGGATTCTCAAACTTTTCACCAAACGACATACACAATGCGACTCTAGCTTAGAAATGATGGCCTGAAATCGTATTGCGAGTTAAAAGGGTACCGGGGAACACATTTTGAGAAGCACTGAAATTTGTTGCTCTACCCCATTATGTAGTATACTGAATTCGTTTCTCTAATAGCCCGGCCCCTATGGTTAGAAAAAGCAGATATTGTTTGAACATTGCAACATTTAATTAACTTTTGACACAACCCTAATGAGTCAAACCTTAGTATCACTAGGCTAAGTCAGAGAAGTAGAACTCTAGCCCATTTCCTTACTTACTACGTACTTCCTTGGCTGAGGCACACGTGGGCTCATTGCCGCGTCAAAGATCGTTTAAAGACAGCTCTAGCCCATCCTCCTAAACCTCTTAATACCGTCCTAATGAATATTTTTTTCAAGGTTTACATGTAATCCTAGCGAGATTAACTAGTAAATTGCTAGTCTTTCTATTCTACACTATTCTACTACTTGCAATTTACTAGTTATTATATAAAAGAACTTACTGTTAATAAATTACACTTGCTATTTAATTGCAAATTACTAGCAAATTACCATGTGAAATGCTTGATCAAATCTGCTTAAGTTCGAATCTTACGAAAAATCATCAAAAAAAGAATTTTTGCGTCATAAAAAAAATTGTTCTAAATTTGGCATTTGCCATATACTTCACAAGAGCGCGCAGAAATCACCTTTATAAGCTCCATCCAAATTTGTATTTGACTTTCAATTACTTATTTATCTTTCTCAGGTTTGCGTTCGAGTCATGGGTGTTCATCAGTGTTCGTTGAAAATTCATGACTCTGAATAATTCTGTAAGTTTAAAAATACATATCAGTGCATGCTCATCGTAGCAAGAAGATGAAAATATAAAATGTAATTCATTAATTCTCTTCCATTCTTCTATTTCTTCCACGCAACTTATTGAACAAATTATTTTTGATTACGAAAATCCACGTGCGTAAATGATGAAAATGCGTTTTGACTTGAGGCGATTCCAATACACTTAGAGATAACAGAAATATATTGTACTTCGAAAGTTGATATTACGCCCATTAATCTTCAATCAAGAAAAGCTATTAACATTTTATCTCCGCAAAATCAAACCTAACGAATGTATTTTGAGTATTAGGTAAAGGTGGTTTTCGGCAATTCAAGCGTCACTGAATTGTGCGTTATCAACCAAAAAAAAAAAATGCTATTTTGGATAATCAAATTACGAGAAAATGAACGGTTCGATAGACATTAATTGGCATAATTTCTGACAATCGTTTGCAGGGGCGTAGCCAGAAAATTTTTAAGGGGGGGGCCCATTTTCGAAAATTAAAAAAACCGTTATTTTGTATCCTTAAATCTATATTCATTCTTCATAAGTTTAAATATTTAATTCATTATTCATACATTAAATTAAATTTTTCGTGCTGATTTTGACATTTCTTTCATCACTTCCTTTACATTAACTGGTTCTTCTCTATAAATACTTAATAAAACAATTATCAGATTTTCGTAGGGGGGGCCCGGGCCCCCTATGGCCCCCCCCTGGCTACGCCCCTGATCGTTTGCAATTTGATTTCATAAGAGGTTGTTATTCAATTATATTAGAGATTATTTGAGTGCAGGAATGAGAAAGAGAAAGCATGTTTTGTTAGCATATTTAAGATAGTCAATGACTAGATGATTGAAAGCTTTTGAAGCCCTTGAATAACACTTGAATACTTCAATCGCTAATGAAATCGTGTTTTATATTTAAATTGTGTTGTTTTGGTATTCATTTACAAATAAGCTATAGATTGGCTTTGTGTCTAAGACATAACTTAAAAATTAAGCATCTTTCAAATGTTCCTAAATCTTTATTTTCAATCTTCAAAGTTTATAATGGTTACGTCTGGTCTTTAAAGGGGATATCAACATGAAGGGAATTAATAAGTTTTCCCACTATGTTGATTTTTCCTTGAACACCTTTTAATCCCTTCCTTAAAATTTTATTTAATTCTTAAACCTCGAATAAAACGTTTCAGCCACTTACTTGATCAACTGATTTCCAACCTTCTTCAAGCATCTCAAATTTAATTTTTCCTGACGAGATATTTTGCCTCAAATTTCAAAATACTTGTTGTGCTGAGGATTTTTTAAAGCAATTGAGTCTAAGAAGAATTTTATTTATGTATTATTCTGTTTGCTGCAATGAAAAATTGATTATAATGAGATAAGTCAAATCAAAGGTAATCAGATTAACTCGAGTACTTACATATGTGAATTTTCATATTTAAATTTTATTGCTTACAAGCTTCTTTTGAAATCAGAGCTTATTATATTTTAATGATTTAATCTTCAAACGTCGGAGCTCAAGTTGTGTAAGCATTTTACGAGTGAGATTTTATTTGCTGTGGAACTTTATGATAGCAAATAAGAAGTTCAAACAGTAACGAGTGCAAGAAATTCATTCCAACATTTCTTTTTATTTGATAATCTCTCTTAAAACTATTGGATTTGTTATTTGTGACATTCTTTTTGCAATTCCTTACTCAGCAGTCTGCTGAATTGTTAAAGGATTTTTTGATCTTTACTTAATCGCTAGCCATCTGTTTGTAGAAGTTTTATATTAAGTTTATGACAATGAAAAATGTATTAAGTAATGCTGGATTTAAAATTGAATTGACATCTTGTCATTGAGTCAGCTAAATTTGCTAAATCAAAGTAAGGTTAACCGATTTTTACCAAAAGTTCAAAGAAATCATTCATTTCATTTTTGTGATTACACTCATTTTTTGAACATACTTATTTTTGTGAACATACTCATTTTTGTGAACACACACATTTTTGTAATCACACTCATTTTTGAACATACTCATTTTTGTGAACACACTCGTTTTTGAAAACACATTCATTTTTTATGAACACACCAACTTGGATTAACATATAGTGGCTATACTCTTTAAAATATGGTATGCTCTTTGAATGTTAAATATTTTTGAACGAATCTTAACCTTTGCAGTTCAAGATGTGAGTATAGTGCTTCCCACGAGTACCTCCAAAATAAAATTCAACACTATATCATCATCAGCAACAAAAACTTCAATGCAATTCAACACAATTGCTCTTTAGTTCTAAAATATTCATAAAATCCCACAGTAAATACCATTACAGTCATTATGCTTACACAATGTCACATTGCTCATTTCAAGAAAGCTCTTGAGAGATGAAAATTGTAATAAAGATTTTAATCGATGTGATAAGAAACTAAAAATCCTTACTGTTCACTCCTTAACTTTATTATCTCTTCATGCACTAGAACTTTCCAGCAATGTCAGACAAAAAAAAATTGTGAAAGTTTCTTCTGTCTTCATCGTATATCCAAAACTCTAAAGCAAATAAAGAAACATTGAAAGAAGAAAATCCCTGCAGAAATTAACATAATCAGAGAGCAGTGAGAGAATGCATAAATATGTATGTATATATGTGT